ATTTTACCCCGCGAGACAACGCGAGTCACTTCCCCCCTCCTTCCCTCCCTACCCCCTCCGCCCACCCTGTATTTAAGGGATCTACATATCTCGAGTTCTCCAGGCTTTTCCACGATACCATGCCGGAGTTGAAGCTTTCGCTAATTTCTGCGGTCTATCGAGCTCTGCAATTACATGAACTTGACACTGGGGCTTTTCTACCGCGCGACGAACCGTCTCTCTCGTCGAAATATCCATGGAAAACGAGAGAGAGAGAGAGAGAGAGGGGGGGGGGAGGGAGAGGGAGAGAAAGAGAGAAAACTGAAAATGGGGCGACGGGGTCGGGAGTTGTGAGTCTCGAGGTACACCAGACGACAATGGTCTCCCAGTGAGAACTGGCAATTTCTCAGTTCGGCGAACGGCCGTGGAAAATTGAGGAACTATTTTCACGCGCGGTACGTCAGCCCCATCGTGCAGCAATGGTAGCACAATGCACCCCCGTCCAATACGCCCCGGCCATACACGGTGTACCGGCGCGATAGCCTTGCTCACCGCTATCGGCGAAGCGTTTCGTCGCGACGATTTTTTTCTTGCACCGAGTGAAATATATAGCCTCGATACTCGAGCCGCCGAATATACGGGAATTTAATGGTTTTCGCAGAAAGAGAGAGAGAGAGAGAGAGAGAGCGAGAGAGCGAGAGAGTGAAAAGTAATTTTCCGCCGGACTGTACAGACGGCGCACTCGGGAGACGCCCCGAAGGATACCCGCCCCGCGTTTGCACTAAATAACTTCGCGGCACAGCTCGTCGCCCAGGTGAGAGTCGGCGAGAGTTCAATTTTGATGCTACGAACGAAAGAGAAAGAGAGAGAGAGAGGGAGACGCGCCTGCTCAGGCGAAACGAGCAGGAAAGGGACGTATGAAAAATCACCGTACGGTGACTTTTGCGAAATGATGTCTGGTGAGAGAATCGAAGAACAAACGCGGTCGATACTCGGCCCCGAAATGTGAATCTAGCAACTTGTTGCGAGTTTTCGGCCGAAGCATTGTTAACACGTTGAATGTCGCGGCGAGTTAGCCGCGATTTCATTAACGCGCACGTATGAGATGTAATTAATCACACCTGGAAGATTAATCGTACGATCGATAGATGAGACGAGCCGGCGGATAAGTGCATCTCGCGTTGCATTTATCTATCGTGCAAATTTAACCGATCGATCGAGCTTTCGTAGCTTCGATCGGCGCGGCGATCTGTTGAGGGATGGCCGACGGGACGTCTCGTGTTGCTCGTTTCTCGAATCTCCCGAACCTTTGAAATAATCTTCCATCGGACTTCTCCTGGCCTCGTAAATTTCACGCGGTAGAAACTCGGACTGGGAACTTTGCGCTTACGGGAAAAATGAGCGTGTCGACGCGACTCTCTCGGTCGGCTCGCCGTCGGTCAAACTACTCTTTTAACGCGTCAAATAGCAATCCCCGCAGATTTTTTCGAATTGTACTGCATTGTGCTACGTTTATGCCGTATTGTGTCGCGATCCGCAACTCTGTAACTCAAAGCGTAACTCTGTAACTGAAGAAAATTAAGAAAAACTAAAGTTTTGATAGTCCCGCACTTTTTGCGTTTTCCTTCATTGCGCCGTATTGTTATGCTATGTTTGTGCTGGTTTGTGCCGCAAACGCGGAGGCCGATAATTTCAATATACATTTGAGAAAAAAAAATTAAAACGAAAATTCGCCAGCCTCCCGCTTTTGTCCGAATGAACGCAGCAATTTTTGTTTGCGAATTTCTACTAATTTGTGTTGCGTTGTGTCGTTTGAAGAATGCAAAACCAGCCATCCGAGGACATTTTGCAATTAGAAAAAGTTGTCGGAGTTGTTGGACTTGACTAGTATAATCCGGCACAACTTTCGAAATTCCGAAAATATGAAAAATCTCTTTTGCAATTTTTGCAAACTTTTTTTACAATCTGAGTAGTTTTCGGCACATCTCTAAGTGGTTTCTTATTGTACTCGATTAGCAGCAATTCAGCACAACTTGCAGACTTGCGATAAATGCATTGTAGAAAAAGTTATGTGTTAATTTGTATTTCAACTTTAACATTTTTTTTCTACTGAACGAAAGGAGATATCTAGTTTCTTTAAACGGCACAAATTAGTAGAAATTCACAAACAAAAATTGCATTCATTCGGACAAAAGCGAGCGGCTGGCAAATTTTCGTTTTTATTATTTTTTTTTCAAATGTTATTGAAGCTATCGGCCTCGCGGCCTTGCGGCACAAATCAGCACGAAGAAGGAAAACTCAGAATTCGAAAAGTGCGGGGCTAAAATAATAATAACAAAAATTTAGTTTTTCTTAATTTTCTTGAGTATGCTCTTGAGTTGCGGATTGCGGCACAATACGGCACGAACGTGGCACAATGCGGCACAATTCGAAAAAATTCGAAAAATGCGGGGCCAACTTGACGCACGTCGGCGCGCTAGCTGAAACGCGTTTCGATTCGTCGAACGTCGAATAACGCATCGGGCGACTTTTCGAGCAGGATCGCTCACTTCATTCGCCTCGCGCGAGACGATTTTACTCTTAGCAGCGTGCGGCGTAAAGATCTCCAGAAAAGGCTCCTCCCCCCACTCTCGTCAGCAATCCGCCGCATTTTTATGGCTTTAATATTCAGCACCGCTCGCGAACACATGATCATCCGTGTAGCAATCAGTGTCTTGGATATCAGTTTGTGTGCTCGCTAACTAATCTCATTAGCCGCTCAATCAGCTTATCGATTTATCATTGTTTCCCAACACATTACACACGTTACGAGAGAGAGAGAGAGAGAGAGAGAGAGAGAGAGAGAGAGAGAGAGAGTGCAGCGACTATCAGTCGCGAGTCAAGTGGCCCGCTTGTCCGCGAAAAGAGATAAACTGCATATATTCGCGGCGACGCGGGCTCGACTGGGACAAAAAGGTTGCACTTTGCGCAACACACACACACACACACACAGGCGCCTCTGTCGTGTCACGAATAACTTACCGGCGTTTCGCGTTTGCGCCCTCCTTGAACGTGTCGCGGGGCCGCCGTCAGAGCGGTCTTGTCCGACGGCGGACGGGGTACGCGCGTCAAAGCGAAAATCGGCAAGACGTGCAGCAAAGGGGCGAGGGCAGGTCGCGTCGGTGGAGAGAGCTTAGCCGGAGGAGGACGGTCCCATCCCTCTTTTTCAGGGGCGCCGCAGTACGCCAGGGCTGTTTAGCCGGTATGTCGCTGCCCTGCGGGGCCGGTAAATACACGCACCGGCGCATATTTCGCGGAAACGCTTCGGCGCTTTCGTGCGTTGCCGACGAGCGCGCGCGCCTGTGTGCGTGTGTACGTGCATGTGTGTGTACGTACATTAACGAACGATACCATCGCCATGTAATATTTGCTCCGGGCTTTCTCGTTTCCCTATTATCGCCGTTAAAGCCAGACGACGCGACGGGGCATGTCGTTCTCGATCGCTTCAACGATTGTGATTTGCGCCGCTGCCGCCGCCGCCGCTGCCGCTGCCGCCGATTGTTACGCGCACGTAGCCGACTATCTGCTTATCTGTTGTTTTCCTGCACGATAGTCCGCAAACTAATTCCGGCAAAGTGGATGGCAGTACGACGCGACGCGCGACGCTTCCTCTCATCGATCCATCCGCCGGCGTGACGCTTAATTTTCTCCCAGTGTATTTATCGAATCCACCTACTACCAACCTACTACGCGCTCGCGTCCTCTAACGAATTAATAGCGCGAGCGCGACATAAATTTTCGACGACACCCGGCTGCGCGCGCGCGCGTTATAGCGCGCAGGTAAATGAGAAGAGAGCGCGGCGGCGGACGCAGGTATAGCGACGAGCGGCGCGAAAGCGAAAGGGATGGCGCAGAGAACGGTTTCGTTCCGCTGAAATTATGTCCTTCCGCCGTGCGGAATCTTGCCACCTCGGGATCCAGGCGCGATTTAATTAAGATACGAACAATCCGGGACGAAGGAGGCCGCCGGCACGCCCGATGGAAATATCGGAAAATATGAGGATCGTGCCGGCGTCGCCTTCGTCACCGTCTGCACTTTTCCAACGCCGGTTACCGCCACCGCATAATAATAACGGACATTCTCAGGATCGCGACGGGAATACCGGGTCGATAATTAAGCGGCGGCGGCGGCGGCGGCGACGGCGACGGCGACAACAACGACGCTTACTGTATAAACGCGGAGGAAGAAAGATCTGCGATCGCGCGTTGCGCGCGCTGCAAAGCTGAGGGCTCTCGCGATAATCACGCTCGATCGTGATTACGTCCAGCTCCCCGAGATAATCGTCCCAATTAACCGCAATTGTCCTGATTCGGCGGCGATCGCACCCGATGGTCGCACCCTTGACAAATCGATTCACGCGCGGCTCTCCGTGTTCGTCCTAAACGCGTTACTTTTACTGGAAATATTCGCGCACTGTCGCACTGCCGTAACAAGCGAATTTCCGAGCGAAATTAAAAGCCACGGTGACAATATTGTAATCGCAAAGCATATCGCTTGGCAACGGCGCGACGAAACTTTGAACAGTCGCGGCGCCTTCAAAGTTGATATTAATAGCCGACAATTACAATAATGTAACACACGTTTGCCGGATCCGTACAGAGTTACTCTGAAACTCGTTCGGAACTAAATTGTCGCAAAGTCACCGAGCGGCCGTTCCCAAGTCGGTGATTTTCCAGAAGACACGGATCTTGCCGCGAATTCGAAGAATATAACGCAGTAAAGTCCCAAATGTCCGGCACCCCGACAAGATCAACCCAGCGCACCCAAGACGTATGTTCTTAATTTCCCCGTTCTTTTCGCGATGAGATTTTTCACTCGCTAATTGGGACACTCGCGCGCGAAGGTGAGCCAAGCGCGCAGGAGCTCGCCGAGCGCGGCACAGAGGAACAAACGCGGGCGAACAAGCGTATTAATTTTACGACGGCCGAGAATATCTTCGCCCTGGCCTAATGCTCAGCGTTTTTACGATTTGTTGTTTCAGTCGGCGCGATGTACGTGTGTATGCTGTACGCCATTCTCTTCCTCAAGTTATGGTCCTACGTGCAGGTGAACATGTGGTGTCGCTTGAGCATTCGAGCGAACGCGGCGCAGGGCAGAATAAGACGTCGCTCTTTGTCTTACAATAATCTTCGCTGTAAGTACTCACTGATGCATATATGTACACATCTCTCTCTCTCTCTCTCTCTCTCTCTCTCTCTCTCTCTCTTCCTCTTCCTTTCTTCGCTCTCTTTCTCTCTTTGTCGCGGTGCTCAACTCTTTGCTGCACGTTTTCTCTGGTGAATAATTTCTGGTGAAACTTGTTACTCGGGGGTTTTTAGAGTCGCTGAATACAAATCCGGTGTGAGAAACGAAATTCCAATATGACGGGCGAAATTTTTTATTACGTTATTATTTAAAATTTCGTGTAAACGAATTTACTCTGTAGAAACGGCAGTTTTGTTCAGTATATGCTTCTTAATAACAGATCACTTTTTTGAAATGACTCTAAAAATTGACGTATCAGTTGGATGGAGGAAGATTTTAGTAGTTGAACAATGCGAAATATGCCACAGAAATACGTGAAAAATTTAAATTGTTGGAAAAACAAGCTTGGATGATAGGCGGCACGCTCTATAGGGAGGACCACTTTGCAGCGAGAGGTTAAGTCGCCGCGCGATATTAACGCGCTCGCGCTGTATATGTATTATATCCGCGACACGATAAATAAGCGGCGCGATATATTTAACGCGCGTGCACACGACGCAGCGTACGCAATCTCATTTTCGTCATCGGGGGATGACGAAGGGGTCCGGCCAGAGTGACGAAAGCAAAACACACGGGAAGCATGGCGGAGAAAAAACCGACCGACCGACCGACCCACCGTCGCGCACCATTTATCTCACGCGTATTATCCGCACGCGAACCGCGCGCGCGCGCGGCGAATCTATTCAAAGACTAATGGCCGCTCACGAGAAGCTCCGATTCTCGCAGGAGTGACCCTTCACGAGTTGCCGGTCGCGCCTCCCTTTTCGCGGTTTTTACGACACTGCACGCGTAATGCTTGACGGATCCGCTCGGTCACGTCTTCAGATCTTCGCCGTTATGAGCGGCGACGCGCGCACTCGCCCGCAGACAATGCACATGTCCAGGTAGCGCGCAAACACGTCCTACGAATCGGTAATCGACTGCGTCCGCGGTATTTGCTCGCTCCTGAAGGCGCGCGTGTACAGCGTCGCGGTGCACCGCATGTGTGCGGTCCGTCTACCTGCACATATGCGCGTGCAGCGGGGCGGAGAGGGAACGGGAGAGGGAAGGGTGGTTTGAGGGCAGGGGCTAGGAAAGGGAAATGATTTCCACCCAATTTAAGCTGACGATCGGGGTCCGCGTGTGTTTCCGGTGTCGGACGCATCGCGGTATATCGATTATTCAGACCTGACCGGCAAAGTCAAATTATACGAACGGCCTTTCCCTCCGATAAACTCACCACCGCGCGCGCGAAGTATTAACCCTTCCTAGGGGAGGGCGGAGAGGCCGCCACCGCCGCCCCCGTAGGCGACAGTAAAGCGCCCGGCCGGTGCGTTTGCACTTTTAATCGTGATTGCGCAAACGATCGATCTGCCTTGATCGATCGTTTGCGCAACTTGATTGGCGCGTGTGGCGAATGGATTTGGATCGCGTTCAGGGGGCGATGCGCGCTGATTCATGCGACGTGTTCGCGCGGAAGAGGAAAGACGGGAGGAGGATTTACGTCGAGAATAAATATAATTAGATCGCTCGAGACGAGGGTGAGAGTCAATGGTGGCTGAAAATGCTGAGCCGGGCTTCTTGCGCGGCGGATCGTCCCTCCGCCGGTCTCTGCAATTTGAATCACATTAGATTCGCGGAGAAATTCATAAAAGGTCGTTCGTTAGAGGCGTTTTTTTCTTTCTTTTTTTAGAGAGATGGGGGCGCAGGGAGGGGGCGCGGCAGCGCTTTGTAGAGCTGCACCGCGAATGCCGTTCCATCGGCAAAAATACGAACGCGATAAGCAAAATGTTCACGCTTCATCGAAGCGAAAATTTCCTCGTGGACGCGCAATTTCCAACTTTCCCCTAAATTCGGCGCCCGCCGGCGTCCAGAATTTTCGCGGCGTATCGCACCGAAAATTAAGATAGATACTCCCGCCCGATAACGGCCGCGACATGGCGGCTCACGCGCGCTCGCGCGTTTGCCCGACTTTGCGTTTCGTTCGCAGTTAATTAGGCCGCTGTACGTCCGACCGACCGACCGATCCGCGTCCGTCGTCGCCTCGCCGTTCTGCTGCCGGAGAGCGTCCTAATTACGGCGCAAAAAGTGACGTGGTTCGACATAATTATCGAGTGCCCGGACGCTCTCTCGCGACGCCTCCTCCTCCTCCTCCCACGGCTTCGTCGCCCCGTCTCATTCGCGAGTCGACGCGAAAGCGGGCGCCGATCGATCGATAGACAAATGCAATCGACAAAAGCCCACCTCGGGACTCCGTTATTACGACCACGAGCTCGTGTAATCTAGCGCGCGCACAGACGCCGTGTAATTTTCGCCCTTTCTACCTAGCCCGGACTCCCGTGGCACGTCGTATTATTACGTACCGCGTAATGACGACGTGGAGCCAGCCACGGGACCTGTAACGTAGCCACGTGTACGCGCCGCGCGCGCGATCCTGCTGGGCCGAGGCGCGCGCGGCCCTTTGCGTTCTCCTTCGTCACGGCTCGATCGATCAGGCGAAAAATGAAGCTCCGTAGTTGGCTCGCAGGGAAGCCCGCAGACGGCCAGCAGACCGTCGGAAAGAAAACGGCCGTCTCTCTGGCTCTCCGTCTACGCGCCTAGACGTACACGCGTAGACTCCAGGCACATTCGTGTTTGTGTGTGTGCGTCTTTGTCGCCGAATAATTCGATAATCGCGGCGGTGAGCCCTTCGTTAGAAAATCAGGGCATGATTGCGGCAATTTGGAAACTCCGAAATGAATGGGGAGATGAACAAGGTAAATTGGCGCGTCAAGTATGACGATCAGAGACGTGGAGGAGTAAGTGCCGGGATCTCACGGCCGGGGGAATTAAGTAGCCGTAGAGTAAGCTGGAATAAATGGGAGGGAATCAACGAGCGAGTACTTAATTTCAAGCGAGAGTGGATGTTGAAGTTTCCTTAGGCCCGTGTCGTGACAAAGACGCCGGGCAATTTACGAGTCTGCAGGATTGCACGGTCGAAGATCGCGGGCAATCGTATCGATTGGTGAGAGATGGAGAGAGGGAGAGATAGAGAGAGGGAGAGAGGGAGAGAGAGAGAGAGCTTCGTCTCCCGGCGGCGCCCGGTGCTTAATTTGTGAGAGACTCCTCGCTCGAGCTTCGTCCTCGTCCTCGTAAGGGTGTGCTGTCATCCCCTCCGCGCCCGCCGCGCGCCCCTACCCGCGCGATATCGATCCCTTTTTTCGCCGTTGCCCGTTCGCCGCGCCAGTTTCGAGATATATGAACAGGGGTGGTCTTAAGCGCGAGGCATCCCTTGGCACAAAGGCGAAATTACGTCGGCCCTCGAGACGCCCTCGGGCCGAGATTGAAAAAAATAGAAATTACACCCGTCGCGGACGGAAGCCCGCTCGATCCCGTCGCGTTCCCACGAGATTCTGCCCCTGACGACTACGATCCCCGATCTTCCACCCTCCCGCCCGCCCGCCCGCCCCCCCCCTCTTCGTCGGACGTGACACAAACCGCTAAGAAGACTCTGGAAGCGCAGATAGACGGCTTTTACGCACTCGGAGGCCAACGTCGCGCGACGTTGACCGCCATAAATTTTTGGCAGAGAAACGCCAAAGAGAGAGAGAGAGAGAGAGAGAGAGAGAGAGAGAGAGAGAGAGAGAAGGAGAGAGAGGGAGGAAAACGTTCGCGAGAGACGAAAGGAACCTAAATTTCGGTCTCACGTGCGTCGTTTATTTTTCCATTCATCTTCGCGACCTATCAGCCGCATTACGAATGCAATGCATCGTGCAATTAATTAATTTGCACTGTGTACGCAGCGCCGACGCTGATAACATGCTCCGGCGCAACAATGCCGTCTTATGACGTAACTGAATCATCTTACGCAGAGGTAAGACGGAGAGGGCAAGGGGGGAGGGGGGTAATCATGCCTTGTCAAGAATGTCAACGAACCTCGGGACAAAGCCTACCTCGTCACAAAGGTTTCCTCGAAATTGGTATTGCCTCCGCTTCGCCGTAATCAAATAAACTACGTGGCGCGAAGACCGATCATCTTTCGATCGGAAGCGTTTAAACGGGAGATAAAAAATCGGCAGACTTGCCGTGATGTTAGCGTTCAGGCGAATTAATTCAGCATGGAGATACGCGGCGGCAACACGGCGGTAATTTCATTCGCTCGCGGCTAAAACGCGGCTCTTTTTTATCCCACTGTTATTGCGATGTGTTATAGCAAATGAAGTGATATTAATGGGGGCTCGATTTATGAAACTGCGCAGCGCTGCGAGGTTTATAAGGGATCCGAACATTTGTTTAACATTTGTATAATCGACCGACCTCCTGGGAATATATATGTATAAATTACGAATAAATACGAGCTGTCGCGCGCGCGCGCGCGTAAACCAAGCTGTAGAGAACGATTTTTAATTAATAATCCGACGGCGCTGGGTTTGCCTATGTGGTAGTCGAAGATCACGGGCTTAATCAAACAAATTTACATAGAATATTAACGAATCATCAAACCATTTCCGAGTTGCGTAATCGTACACTCGCTAACTTGGCGTATGTGTGCCTGCGCGTGTGTTTTTGGCCGTTCGCCGAAATCACATCGCAATTTCATTATTCCTAGCATTCGGCAAGCATGCGCGAATCAGCGATGCGCCCGATGAGCCCGAGCCGTTTTCTCTTCGCTGTTTCCCCCGCAATTTTGTAACGACATTAATTATATAAGCAATTTGCTTCGTCGACTCATTTTCATTTCCGCGCGCTGTTAACTACTTTTTCTCGTCGGGAATCAATGCGATTTACATTTAAGCGTGTACTACGTGTTATTACGCTTCGGGAGCGTTCAAATTCAACACTCACCCACTCGCGTTGATATCCACCGACGCGAAGCCGTCCGCTGCCGCCGCTCCAGCCGCGTCGCCCTGCGCCAGTCCAGTTCCCTCGGCGTCCTGATTGCCGCCCCCCCCCCCCCGTCGTCGATCGTCCTTCGGTCACTTCATCTCGCTGCACTTCACTCGCGATCGCGATTGTTTTAACGGCGCGTGGCGAGAAAAAAAAAGCGATAAATCCAAGCACTTTAAAAATACACTCGCGAGTCGCCAATCGCGCGTAAACAACGGCGCACAAAGATCACGTCGTTTTCGATGAGAGAGAGAGAGAGAGAGAGGGGGGATAAAAAGGGAACGTTCCCCGCGGACGTTTGCGCGCGCGTTTTGCCAATAAACGACCTTCTCGTTTCGCAAGAACTACTAATTTGAAAAACAAACGGAAAACGTTACACGCGCGTCGAATTTAATAATTCCATTGAACTTACTCGCGACCGGTTATAATGTCATTTCGGCGCACGCCCGCGGCACGTGTCGCGCGTAAAAATATCGGCGGCGGGAAGCGCGGAATTAAAATTCGTCCGTGAAATAAACAGAATTAAATGCCGGTCGCGAGACATCCGCGATACGCCGCGGCATGTGGGCGAAGAATATTGCTTTGCACTCGTGCGAATATTGCTCTGCGACATTGCGTAAAAGACTACCCCGCAATCTGTGCGAGGTGCATTCTCTTCCGAGACACTTTGGAGATACGTGTGTTCGCGAATTTAATAAAGCTTGCTTTTTCGCTAAAATCGCGCGCGCGCGAGAAATATCACAAATCGCACACGCGAGCAAAGTACGATCGTAAGTACTTGAAGTCGCTGTTTCCGCAGCGAGTGAAATCGTATGATGCGCAAGCAAACGAAAACTTGGATCTCACTCCGACGGCTAACTTTGTTTTCGCGAGGAAACGCCGATGCTCGGCCGTATATTTCGCGGGCAGCTTTGTATAAACAAAAAACCGGAAACGGAATCCCGACGATCATGAAGAAGTCAGCGCGTCCGAATTATATCGTGAACGAAATACGCGCTAGATACGTGAGATTGCTGCGGCGCTGTATCGTTTTACCTCGACGGAACTTACGAATGCTACGTCGACGGCGGAACGTAATCGCGGCGTAAATAGCGCGTACGAGAAATTTAGAAAATTGGTAACCGCGCGGCGAACGCGAAATCTATCAACGCGGACAAAGTAATTCCGTGAATTCTGATGGCGCAATATTTCGATTCTGCGCATTGTATACTGTAGAAAACCGCCGGGATATCGCGTGAAATAGCAAAGGTCGTATCGAATGATTCGATGGCTTTAAACAATTATAACGAGAGTTGATGAAGCATTTTCGCGCATAAATATTTTCAGATAATATCGACGTTCGAACTCGCGATTCCTCGTTTTAAGCAGCATATTTCGTAAAATGGCACACAGCGTGCAAAAGTCTAAACCAAGTAAATCGCATTGATTCTACAAACGCCCAGCACCATAAATCTTTGTATTCAACACCTTTCAGTTTTTAGACCCATTGTTCTCACTCACCGAAATACCGGCGGACTCAGGGCCGGCCGCGCTCTGCTCCTGAATCTGGAACAAAAAGATATCATTTTCGCCGCGATTATCCTTAACGGCTTAGCTTAACGTGCGAGCGCACGTAGCGCGACTTGGCATTTTGCCTGCGGATTTTTATCTGGAAAATTATATCTCAGATATCGATCGCAAAGAAGCAACACACGGAAAATTCGTCCACGTACCTTCGAGCCGACCCTGCTCGGCCCGAACCGAATCCTTCGGTACCGCATCCGCGACCAGCGGAAAAGCAGCTGCCTTCGCCATGGCTGCAGGTTCCTCCAGATCTGAAAGAGAAAATAATTTGCCCAATCAGTTACACGGCAACGGACAAGTCGCCCGATTCCGGCGAATTGATCGCTTTTAGTGCAAGTTTGATTGTAGGTTTTGTCTGTCTCTCTCTCTCTCTCTCTCTCTCTCTCTCTCTCTCTCTCTCTCTCTCTCTCCTCTCTCCGTCTTATATCTAATAAAAGCGAGATACGTGCAATAATCACCTTTAGATTTCGAAACGATGCCACTGTTCGGGATGACTGCAATACCGCGACCGCACTCGCGTAGCGACGCGACGACCCGATTTGTCTCCACGAACATGGCGTTTTAATCGATTTGCGAAACTCGAGATAACGCGCGCCGCACGACGACGCGGCCCGATGTGTTCTCTCGGGCGTCAAAGATTGTTATGGGACGTGCGACGCGTATACCTATGTGTGTATACATTGTCCTGAAGGACGACCTTCGGCGCGACAAGTCGCATTGAGAGCACTGTTACGCACGGCATATTGTGTTACTTTCCGTATTTACGTATTTTATGTAGCATCAATATTTCACATCGCATTATAAACGTTCAATTGCACCTGCCACGCGTTTCGTTTATCGCATTCTGTACATCTTGTAAATTTGAAGACCGAGGATTATAATATCAAGACCACGAAAAACAAACGAAACGAAACGAGAACAAAACGGTACAGAAAAAGTCCATGAATTTATCATCGAGGCAGTTTGGTGTGTCTGAATAAGGCAGAATATATTCAACTATTTCAGGCGTCTCTCTCTCTCTCTCTCTCTCTCTCTCCCTACGTGTTTTATAGTATAGAATAAATACTTTACATTGCACTATAACATTGAATTATCTAATACGCGTGCATCCGTTTATTGCATTCTATATATCGTATCTATCGGTTATTTAAATCTAAAGACTGTGGATTATTTCAAGACCACGAAATGAAACGAAAGAGTACAAGGGGAAAAGAAGTCCATGAATTTACCATTCACCATCGGGCAATCTTGTCCGAATTGGTCTCTCGGTACCAGAAAGCAAACAGCGACCTTTTGTAAAAATCGAAGCAATTTATTGTGTATCGCGAGAATAGTCTACGTGCTTCTCCCTTTAGATACAAACAAATATCGGAGACAGACAATCAAATATCGTTGGTTGATCGCCACAAACGGACGATGATGAGTAAACTCGAGTCACCAATGACCGGTCGCGCGGTTGTCCAACGGCATCGCCGAAAGCGAAGCATTCTCGGATAGACGGATGGCGAGTGTACTAGAGAAAAGGGCAGTGAAAGGGCAACGTTTATCTCGTAGTTCGCGAGTCGCGGCGGGTGGAAAAGAAGGCGAGACGCGACGCGAGGTTTAAAAGGGGCAGGTCGGAATTTAATTTGCTCGAATTCTTCTACATTTATTACGAAGGCCGTAGAAACACGAGCGGGCCGGGAGTCGCATTCGCCGACGTGAACGTCGATCGACGCGGGCGACGAAAACGGGCTAGCCGCGGCCTGGAGCTCGACGTCCGACGCTCGACGCAACCTGGATGCTCTGTCGAGTGTTGGAGTAGCGCCGCAACGGCAGCCGACGCGGCGCCACCCGGGCTTATTTGAATTCCAGATTGGATTATCCATCGGATTTGGATAATTGAAGGGATTCTATCAGTTACCGGTCCGCGTCCGGGTGGGATTAGACGCGCAGATGGAGAATCCGCACGCGCAGCGCGCGGCGCCGAGGAATTCCGCCCGCCGCTTCCGGCCGAGCGGATTGCACCGAGCATCCGGTATTGTTGCTCAAGGACAAAGCCTGAAAGACTTGGAAAGAGCGGAAAGGCAGAGGGAGAGGGAGAGAGAGAGAGAGAGATTATACGAGAAGAAATGTATTTACGTACACGACTCTGGAAACTTGATTTTAATTTTGCTGATCGTTAATCGTGCGAAATAACGATCTGATTCTCGTTCCGCGCGCGCACATGCGTGTAAATATTCACCTTGTCGGATATAATCATGAATCTTTCCGGTAGTAAAAGTCTCCTCTCTCGCGTTCTCTGTCTGATAGCTTCCTGTGTCAATTTGCCGGCTGGTGGATATCTGCTCGCTCTGAAGAAATTATTTTCCCCGGCTGGACAGCCCGGACAGCGGCGGAAACTCGTTTAGAATTAGATTTCGTTCGATTTACAATAGCCGCAGGTGGTTTAAATAACGGCGGTTTCATCGACTACGGCCGCCGCGACCGGTGGGAAATAAAAGTCGACGTGAAATAAAATGTGTGGTCTTTTCTGTTGCAGCTTCCGGCGTTAAACAGAATGGCGACGTCATCGACAGCTTAAAGAACGGGACGAACGGCCGCGGGAGTTCATTGGTGCAATATCCCGACAATCTGAACTTCGCCGACCTCTACTACTTTATCTTCGCGCCCACCCTCTGCTACGAGCTGAACTTTCCCAGGACACAGAGGACCCGGAAGAGGTGAATGAATTAAAGTCTCTCGATTTATACGCTTCGATTAGGGACAGGTCGTGAAACTACAAGTGACCTCGATCCAAGACTCTTCCGGCGGGCGTGTTCGACGTGTTTTTCGACGATTGGATTGTTTTCAATCACGATATATACGCAACCCGCTCGCGATTGAAATCGACGTTTCGCATGCTCGCGATCTACCGATCGGATATTCTCCTCGCGCGGTTACGCACGCTCGGCCGTCTGGTGTGTCTCGTTCATTCGACTTGTTCATTCGACTGGCGGGACAATATAGTCATATTTCTGTTTACATGTGTTTCGGGAATACCACCTGGCTCGCTCCCCCGATCGGGAAGCATCTCAAGTGGAAACTTGATATTGTCTGACTTTGGTCACGCGAGTGTGTATGCATTGCGTGAGACGTATAAGTCCGTGTTTGCTCTCAGAGATTTCTCGTATAGATTCTTCCCCCCCCCCTCTCCATGTCTTATTTCCTTTTCGTAAAGAATGTCAACAGATGCCGGAGTCACCGGTTTACGGAGCTCAGATTGCAGGCAACGAATTCTGCCTTCTGGGAAGAAAATTTCTGCGGAAGAAGAAAATTCTTCCTTACGTCTGACTTTATTGGAAAACGCGAATTATCCGTGCAACTTTTACGCGCACATTCCCTTTTGTGGAGTTGCGCTTGCGGCTTGGCATGCGCGGGATATAATCTGAACGTATTTCCACGATCCCATCATTCGCAGTTGTACAAGTAATAATTGAAAAAGTAATACAAATGAGCATTTTATCAGACCTCGCGACAGATTTCTCTACCAATCTGCTAGTTCCAATAGAGAGAGAGAGAGAGAGAGAGAGAGAGAGAGAGGGGGGGGGGCAGAGATTTTAATCGCAATTGGCTGCAATACCTGTTAATATATGTCCATGTAAATTATTATGAAATATCTCAATAATGAGCTCTCTTAACATTATTGAATGGACATGTATATTGCATTTTAATTTGTGTCTCGTCCATTTGATATATTGTATAATATTATTAATTATTACTTTATATTATATTAATTATCACTTATATATTGCTCGCATATATTACGCCGTAATTGTATACACTTGGAAATTTATAATTGACGTCTCCGAATCCTTATTTAATAGATTCGTTTGAGCACAACACACAGAGTGAGATCTTTCCTCAAGTTCGTTCGTCCGACTGTATCGACGCCCTTACCTGGTTTTCATAGTGCGCCTTCCCTCTTTTGTGCACTGTTACGCCTTCCGCGCAGCCGCTTCGTCGAAAAGTGCATCCAAACTGTTCGGCTTTTCTTGTCGCCGGCAGTTTGCCGGAAACGAAACTCGGGCGGACGACGTACCGCCGAATGGGAACGTCGCGTTTCACTCGCGACGGTACTCAAAAGTCGTATTTTCGATTTTTCCAGAACCGGTTTACAGTCGAAGAGGGTGTGTGCGTCGGGAGGGTGACGAGGAAGACGGAGGTGGAAATTCGCGGGGTCGGTCGGCCGGAAATCGGTTTGCTCTGTCGATAAAATCTCCGAGCAAATATATGTACACGGCTGGCGCGTAATAATGATCAATGTAATAGAATCAAATATGTGGGCGAATTAGGTCAGAGACGGTCGATAAGCCCGATAAAATGTATCTATATCTCAGCGACCGAATGACAAGAGTGTGTAACGGGAGATATCACACAAAAATATGATTAAAAATGTTATTCCTTTTTAATGACATTCCTACGTGACACTGTTGAAATGTGCAGCCCAAAATTATGCAAGAATTCGGTGCATAATTTAAGCGCGACGAACATTAAATTAAATTATTGACGAATTCATTCAGGTATTTTTTAGCTCGCGCCGGACGTGTAACACAATCGTGTTGAATTGAAAATTGCATTTCGCGCTGTGGTCTCGCAAAATTGCCGCACGACACGACTGACACGAGCGTGTCATCTGACTTACAGGTTTCTTATAAAGCGAATCGTGGAAGTCGTCGTGGGATTGCAAGTGGTGATGGCGCTTTTCCAGCAGTGGATGATTCCCTCCGTGAAAAATTCGCTCATCCCCTTCAGCGTGAGTATTCGATTATATATATATATATATATTACATGTTACATATTAAAGCATATTATCCGGTTAGATAAATAATTCTTCCCGCCGTCTCTCTCAAAGAAAATCAATTTTCTCTCCGTTGCACGTACATATATACCGTTCAGCTTTGCGCCTGCCATTATACTCCCGAGTAGCGCGAATAATAATCTATGGATGTCCCAGCCAATATCTCGGGCCCTATTACGAGAGCTAATTATTTATCGCGCCAGTCATAAATAAGTCGGGCTAACCGCGAGGGCGAAGCAGCCGGTAAGATAGCGCGCAGCCGGCAGAAGAGCACAAGTGTAATTTGGTTTCGGCAAATAGGTACGATCAATCTCTCGAGTAATGCCCGGAAATTCGATGCACACAAATACGATACGACAAATTCTGCGCTGGCCGCAACAGCCAGACCCACCGAATTCGCCCGCGATAAAATATGCAGGAAAAAGGCGCGCGCGAGAGCTGCGCCACAGAGCCCGCAGTAGTGCTGTTCCGAGTTATATATCCGCTCGCGATGTAACGTTGCATAATATCACGAGTATGATGTAAATTACATTTCTTAAAATGCTAAACAGATGCGGAAGGAAGGGAGCTAAGAGTTTCTCAGCGACGTGCACAAAGCATATATTTTATCACCGGCGCGCTCCGCTCGCGGAGGTGTCACTGGTATGTTTCACGGGGTTAATAACTCCGTCGCGCGACAATTCGTGATGTCCACGCGCGCGCGCGCACTGCGACGACGACGACGATAGCTCGGCAAAGCGTTCCCCACCGAGACGCGATGCGCGTCCTATTTGTTTTTTCGCGATATTACAGCGGTCTCGCTGAAAATAAGGCCAGAGTAAGAGGAAAAGGGTAAAAACGCGTTAACGGTACGTCGCGTTTCTCCCGTTCGCACCGCGCGCTAATGCCTCCGCCACGCCATCGGTTTCTGTCCCGAAATTAAACCTCCGTCTTTTGATTTGATAATTGTAGTGGACGCCGCGCGGGAGGATGACGTGATCGATATTTTTGTCACGAATATACGCGCCACCGCGTCTATTTGCAGCTGAACGACGTCGCTAGTAAAATCCGGTCAATATGAAATATTTAATTCGCAGAATCTTAATCTTATCACTTATATCGCCGGTTGCGAGTTTCTCCAACTACGTCGTATTATTTTCATGCTAAGGTCTCGAGTTGTGTATCTGTGGCATCTTTTACGAAGCACGCGCGTATAATTAGATGTGATAAACCTGTTACTTAAAATATAATATCCTTTTTTCAAATAAAAATTTCAAGTAAACGACTTTTTCTTCTGTCACTTTCATGTCGCACAATGAATTTTATATAATGCATGATTAAATATGCGACAATTTATATCACATTAAAGAGAAAACTCTCTCTCTCTCTCTCTCTCTCTCTCTCTCTCTCTCTCTCTCTCTCTCTCTCTCTCTATAATTTGATTTTTATTACATTTCCCGCGAAAAAATATATATAGATACACACACACACACACACACACACACACGCATACACGCGCGCGCAGGTGACGCAGGTGTGACATATTTTAAATTAATTAAAAAAATCTGCGCGGAGAGACGGTTAATTAGCAAATTATCAATCGTTAGCGGTGAGGTGTAATAAACGAATCGCTTAATTAAACAAGCCGTATCGGCGGTGAAACAGAATTGGGGAAGGGCCGCGGACAATTTAAAGTGCTAATTAGAGGAGCACGGGAAGAGCGGCATGCGCGCGTGGTTTGATATTTATATATACTTTCTAGTCTCGCGGCGCGGCGCGCGCTTGTTCGCGGGATCGCGCAGCTTTGATCGCTTGATAACGAGGGACGCTTCAATACACACGCTGGACAGGGCATGTTGCGACGTTGGGAATTTTCCATTGCGTGCCTGTGAAAGGACCATGGATTTAAATGGGTCCTTTTACGTGGTCGGGCTAAACCGCAGCTGATCCGCGGCGGGCGTCCGCGGTTCACCAACTACGCCCATATTTCGTACGTAATGCTATCGAAAATCCCGACCCCATCATCGATTCACTAAAGGTATTAATAATTCAACCGTTCGTAGTAATACCAAGTGCGATATATAGATTCCGTTAAATGCGTACGAAAATTCTTTCCCCTACCGACGCGCCCGGACCGGCCGAAGCGGGGGTTTAATATTTTTTTACCGAGTCCCTTCGTCGTCGGAGTTGACACATTTAATATAGAATCTGGCAACGCAAATGAAAATACAGTAAATTTTTTATTAAATCTCATCGATCCAAAGCGCTCTTTGATTCGCAATTATTTGTGCAAACAAAGCACAAAAAACAAAAAGGGAAAAGAATAACAGAGCAGAGGAACACGCGGCGGCAGGCGCGAGCGGGACACATTTCGACCGTGTGTTCACGCCGGAGAGATTTCGATTTTAGCTGCCAATGTGATTAAAAATTAATTACAGCGTTTTGTGTGTGTCCGATGTGATTGCCGTGTGAAAACAAGTGCGCGTGCATTTCGAATTCGATAAAATGTCAAATTCGAAGTGTCCTTGGGACGTAAATTTGAAATTGGACAGTCAATATAATACATATACATGCATGTGTGTGTGTGTGTGTGTGTGTGTATGTATAATTCTTTTTCCTGTTAACTAAAATTCGCGCGCAGCGCACCATCGGAGAGCAATCTCTCGTCGGGGAGTGCCTACCATCAGTCTGGTCTGCGCATTCCCATGTTACTCACAGTTGGATGCATTGTTGCGGAACTTCACGGCTGGTGGCTGCTCCTTTCCATAACGGTGTCGGAACTTCCGCGTTCGCGATTAGGCAGTCCGACGGCGTGCGTCTCTCTCCTCTCCTCCCCGGCCGAGCTATCCTTGCACTCGAGACTACATCGCGAGCGAATATTATTTAATCGTTTCCATCGCCTCGCGAAACGCGATCGACTCGCGAGCTACTCGACGCAGCCGGCAATCCGTTCCGGCTACCGCCCGTATGATTTCGACAAATTGCTTCTGCAAATCGTTCAGTGGCCTCTTTCTACGCCACCTCCCCTCCCCCATTTCCTAAAGAAACTGAAGGAACGCTTCGGCGGCGGCGGCGAAAAGTGGCGTGGTGAGGCTGGCTGCCGTCTCTCTCCACCTCCTCGTCTCTCGCCGATAGAGGCGTTCGAAATCGCGATATCGACCGAACGCAAAGTAATTGCCACGCTAGTCACAGCGAAGTTAATGCCGGGGAGAAACGGCGAAGCGCTCGCTCGTTTCGACCCTACCGACACCACCACCACCACCACCCTGCCATTGCCCTCTCGCACTCGCTGCGCGTGCTATTCTTTCTTCGCCCGGGCGACAAATTGGATCTGATAATTGCGAGTCGCGATTACGACAGTCACGTTTCTCGATTGAACGTCCAGCTGGCGAGGAGAGAGAGAGAGAGAGAGAGAGAGAGAGAGAGAGAGAGAGAGAGAGAGAGAGAAGAGAGAGAGAGAGAGAGAGAGAGACGTTCGCTTTTCTCGATTTAGCTCGGCGTGGTCTGTCACTGTCGCAGAGCGCGGATGTCACGAGGGCCACGAGGGGAAAATCTCGGCGGGGAGAGCGGGTGAGAGGCGGGGCTGCGAGATTAAGAAATCTACAAGGATATTGCCTGCCGCGCCGGAGTAGCGGATCCGAGAGGGTAGGGGAAATTGATAACTGAGGATGATGCTTGTCGGAAGGGTAATCACTTTTTACCGGCGTGCTCCAGGCTGCTGAGCCTCGTTATTCTTGCAGAGCGGAGAATGAATGGATAAGAAAGTCGGCACGGGTCGCGCCGGTGCGCGACCGGAAATCCCTGCGATTCCCCTCCGGCGAGCGGGACGATTAACCCTCGCAATTCCGGCAAATCCGCGGCGGCGGAGCGCGTCTGCTTGCTAATGATACTTGGCTCCCGCGTACGAATGATTCTCCGTGCGCGATGGATTTCAATGCCGGAGCTGCCATTTGTGCGCGAGGTAGTCGCGCTCGCCCCCTTTCCCCGCTCCATCCCGCGCCGTTCTCTCTCATTTTTACTTACTTGCCCTGTTTTTTTGCAGCCTGTCTCGCATTTTTGCGGCGCTGTTTCTGTTTGCCTCCCTGCCGGCCGAAGGTGCGCGCGCGCATGTTCGTTTGAAAAAGAAGAAAAGAAAAAGGAAACAGTGCGCGGAGGCGAGGCTCGCTGTATTTTGACAAGACCGTGCGGCGAAATATCAACGGTTCTTATATGATGAAAGTGCAACTATCGGGGCCCCGTTGGCCATCACCCTGCGGAATTGCGCGGCGCTTTGCCTAGCGGATCGATCGAGCGCGATCGAGAGGTGGCAAAGAGGATGCATCGGGCTTCGGCTTATCGGCTCACGGCACACTGCAGCTTAAAGGGACGAGCGTTTAAAGGATTTTCGGGGGTGCGTCGAGGGCGGTTACTGCCTCGAGAAGCACGCGGCTTTATGGCAGCCATCGACGGAGCATACGGAGTATCGCATCGACTTCCTAACGCGCGCTTTACCGTCGCTTACATGCCGTCCCGTAGTCGTTTATTCGATTATATATGCAATCTAGAATATTTGGTAAATATGCGCGGGCGCGGGCGCACACACAAGAGGCGCGCTTCCCTTCGTAAAAGTCTCCTCGCGCGTATCTCCTCACGGCTGCGCGCAGCTACTTCGGCCTTCGTGAGAAATTTCGGGAATTTTCAATGAAAATTTAGTCGGATGTACGGAAGAGGGAGGGGCCGGAGGGGAGATCGTTTACTCGAGAAAAAATCTTCGTTATTTGCGCGCTATTTTTAAGTGACCCTCCCTCCGCCCCCGTCGCCCTCTCGCCCCTCGCCTCTCCTTCTCTCGTATCGTGCCTCGGCAGGTGCGCGGGTCAAGAAGCGGCGAGTTGGGAAAAGCTGCGCGGCATGCAGCACGTCTCCGCCCGTCTATTGCTCGTTTTTCCTCCCGTCGGCAAGATTCCAGACACTTGACCAACGTTGCCGGAAAGGAATTC